TCTCTTCAAATGGCAAGGTAGGAGTAGAGGATGCTTTAAAGAGGTCGGGATGCAACAGAAAGAAGGAACAGGGATATTAAATGGGAAGGAGCTGAGACCTTGCTTAGAGGTAGCAAGTGAAAACAAGAACAGGGATCAAGGGGATGGGAAAGGGAGCGAGTGGATTTAATGGGTTTTTGATGCTCAACAAGAAAGTAAGTGTTGATTTAAATCTAGAAAGCTTGTGCATGATACTTAAAATTTCATCTAGGCAAAGTATTGCTGCCGTATGTATGTATTTACTGATTTTTACTTTTTAGCAATAATTCAGTGTTTGCGTTTCCGCCCAAAATTTCAACGCTTCATATAAAAACAAAAAATTTGCTCTGATTCAGAAAAGATGAATGTATAAATGGGGTTTGCGTACAGTGTTTTGTGTGCATAGCACGTGAGCAACGTGCATCATTCTTCCCGGAGTGCTCTGGATAGGCGATTCTTCTAAGAAACAGGCAATGAATATCGAACTTCGTACTCAGAGATGCAAAGAGGAAAAGCACATGGCTCTTTTACTGTGTGCTGACTCAGTCGTCAACAGAATCAGAAAACTGCTGCAAATTATTTTTATCATAGATCGATCACTGCTCTGGGATCTCTCGCGCTGTTTTGGGATTGTGCAGCAGTCGTGCTGCGGTGCGCTGCTTCAGTTGTTCCTGCAAGAAACTGCAAAATTTGCCTGCAGTGATGATGCAAGTCTGAGGAACGAGTGTAAATTCATTTCCATTTGTTTTAGGGTTTAAGCTTGTTTAGGATACTTGAATTAGGATTCTCAGCCGTTATATGACTAAGGACTAAGATCTTAGACTTCCGTCTTTTCAGCTTGGTTAGTTGCGGAGTTAAAATTGAAACGCATTCCTGGCCTTTGAAGCATGTGTTCTCGTACTTGCATAAATGCAAAAAAAAGGAGCTAGAATTAACTGGAAATTGCAGAGAGATACGAACTGAGTGGAGGGCAGATTGGCATGGGCTGATCCAGAGAGGAAGGAGGAGGGGGTGGGGTAGCAAAGAATCTTTCTCGCCCCCCCCCCCC